TTGCTTTACTGTAGAAGGGGATTTTCATGTTAACCACAAGTTTCTTCAGCTACAAATCTACTGTCATCATTACGAAACCTTTTGTCAGATTTACCACAGAAACTGAGTTCTGCAGGATCGGCACTAAAAAGTGGTTTTCCCCCAGAATATTTGCATTTATATAATAGGGCAAAAGGTTACTTTATTCACTTATTTCTCATTTCTTTCGAAGATATGAGTGATTTCCTTAGTAAGCAACATATGTTAGACAACATTATGTGACAATTTCAGTAAAACATTTGAATGTTATTGGAAGAAGTCTCTTATGCTCATCGGGGCTGCATTTATTTGATCAGAAATACAGTACAAACTGTAATACTAAATATTAATAGTATGTATTAAATATCATTTAAATAATAGTTGTTTTCTATTTTAATATATTTTAAAATGTAATTCTTTCCTTTGCAGGCAAAGCTGAATTTTTAAGCAATTTTATTATCATTTATTTAGCATTTATTTTAAATTTTAATTTTTGTAACAATTTTAAAAAGCCTTTACTGTCAATAATGTTTACCAATAAAGTAATCATTTGATTTAAAAAAAACCCAAAAAAAAACTACAATTTACTGACCCCAAATTTTTGAACGGAATTGTAAGTTTACAATGCAACTAAATACAGTCGTACCTGAGATACCGCCTTGCATGTTCGTTTTTGTGCCCAACCATGAGGTAGTAACAACCAACAGCAAACCACGAAACCTTGAAAAGGTTCACAGAGAAAGAAATGATAAGAAAACAATCACATGAAACTTGTGTTATGAAAGAGAATCTAACTCACCGGATTGCTGGGATACAAATCCACCAGTTTATGAGACAGGTAAAACAACTCTAGAGACAACGGATGATAAATGTTATGATTCCACATTAAAAGTCAACACTTAAATTAAAGCTGAAATCAATATTTAGTCTCATACCATTTGCTTTGCTCAGCTCTACAAGGGTTCCTATATGCACTGGTAAACAGTTAGCATGAAACGGGTCTTTCACCATTACCCTAAATAAAAAAAATTAAAAAAAAAAACTTTCCCTAAATGTCAAGCCAAACATTAGAAATCAACGTCTGTTTTGCAGACTTACATTGACGTAAGAGAGTAGCACATTTTAAAGTCACAGTTGTAATAATGTCGCTCTGCGAGAGAAACGACAACATCCAAGTTGTCCTGCAGACCGTTGACTATTTCTGGGACGACCATCTCACTAGGTTTGTTATACTGGAAAAGAAGAGTTGCTGATTAGCTCTTCAATGAGCACTTCAAAACCATTGACTGAATAAACAGGTACTTCAAATTCTCATAGTAATTTTTGCATGTTCTTTTTTTAAACTGAAGAATAAACAACAAAATCAGGAAAAATAATGAACAGCATCTGATACACATGATGACGTGAATGTTCAATCAATGCTATTTCATACTGTATGTAAATCAAGACAAACCATCTTTGGTACACAAATCTTTCACTTCTCTTGTCCTAATTTAACCTTATGAGGGTTTAGACGACAAAAAAAGTCTCTCTTACCTTCTTTAACTTATTTTCAAAAAGGAAACGCAGCAATTCCACTTCCTCTTCTGTACACTGTTGACTTAAGGGCAGAGAATCCAAGAAATCTTTTTCTACAACAAAACATTTTATGAATTTAAAAGCATTTATACATTTTATCTGAAGTGACTTTCAAGTGAAGACTATTATGACACAAGCAAATGGCTACAGGTCAGATAACAATACACTAAACAAAATTGCTGTTATGAATTTATATTTATAGATTTTTTTGTTTGGTCCACTAACAATGTTTGTTAAGCTGTAAGTAGAGATCGACCGATATATTGATTTACCGATATTTTCCCCGATATTTAAGCATTTTACAATAATTGGATATCGGTTTTGTAATATCGGATTCACCGATAAACGCCGCCACCTTGTGGATGTTTTGAGAATTGCACACAGGATCACCATTGCAGTGCGTCTGAGGGGAAACAAGACAACAACAACACCGGCGTGCACAGGTACTTAATTTACTGTAGTTAGTAAACTTTATTTCAGGCATTTCATAATCTAGAACGACAAAAACATTATTAGTAATTCTGATATAACATGCCAGTTGAGAAATGCAATAAAATACGATGTTTTGTGTTATATTTCAATATTCCAGAGATTATTCTGTGAATTAACATTATCCAGTGAATTATTCTTCACTCTTTAGCCTATTAAACAGCTTATAAACCTATAAAACTGTAGTTTAAAATAAAGTTGATATGACTCCTTTCCTTTATTTATTTTCTTCATTTGAAAACATTAGACCTTCTACATTTAGTTTGCTTATTGTTAATATTAGTGTTGCTGCTGATGCTTTAAATAAAATGTTTTTTCATTGTTGTAATATGAAGATTAAATTTAACATGAAAGACTGCTAATTTTCAACACTTTTTTAAGAAGACTGAAAGAAGAAAAAACCAAAGTGAAGTATGGACTTACTTCATTCAGTCATTTATTTACTTTATAACAGTAAATAAATATCAGTTCTGCATATCGGTTATCGGGCACATAAACATGCAAATAATTGGTATCGGTTATAAAATATCAGTATCGGTCGATCACTAGCTGTAAGCAACTTTATGTACAAAACCAGAGAATTTCAAAAACTGAAAGAAAAAATGAAAAGCTTCTCTCACCCTCTTGGGCGGTCAGCATGTGATGGGATGTCAAAAGGTCGAAGGCTTCAAAGCAGTAGACGTCCAGTTTCAAGGCCTCTTTGTAGCTAGACGTGGCTAGGGGCCTGTTGTCCATGGCATCATAGATCTTCCCCCGCAGGAGACAGATGGAACTATTGATCTGAGTGAAAAGGCCACATGGAGTAAAAGATCCAGACAAACAGTTATGCCATTCAAATACCAAGATTATTTCTGAAGACCAACTGGACTCATTCATTCAGGTACAGTCCAAATATCAAAAACAAAACATAAGCCAAGAAATGACCAAGGAAACATTCCAGAAATCAGGAAAAAAAAAAATCCAATGCAGTTTTCATCCAGAAGGCCAGAATAAATTAATGAATAAATAAAAGAGTTGGGCTTACTGAAGCAGGAGACATTTCCCACTCCTTTACGGTTTCCTTTGAGCCATTATCCTCCTTTACATTCTTCTCCAATAATTTTTTGCTGGCTGCTTCCTCCATGTCCAGTATGTCCAGAGCTTGTTGATATTCTTTGGCAGCATACTGAAGATTACAAAAGGATTTACTGATTATTTCCTAGATTTCCTAATTGTTTTTAGAACAATTGGTCTGTCAGTCTTAAAATTACACAAATGCCCCACCCCTTGTATGTTGTCAGATTTCCCTCAAACAGGGCAAAAATTTATATTGTATATGTATTTTTTATATTATATACAATACCACATTACAATATTTTATTTTATGTCATGCATAAAATAAAACACATTCATGGCATTAAAGTAAATACTCACATGACATCTTGCAGCTAGATACTGACAGGTTCCATATAACTGGGAAACAAAAACCAAAAATGAAGCACCATATACGTCTTCATTAATTCCCTTGAACATGAAGATGATTTTTTTTTTTTTTTT